GAGGTAATTTACTCTGTCAGACCCTTTGCCAGGGGATTGGGTTCTCAACAGGTTCCAATAAGAATCTGAAATAAGTACGAACAGAAAACAAACCATTCCGTGCCATCCTCCACCTACTACAGTCATCCTCTCCCACCTGAATGTGCACATCATACAGAGAAGCCAAAAACAATGCATAGACATCCAGTTCCCAATCATGTAAGCCCCTCCCGAAAGCGATGTTCCAGCTAGGATTCCCATTAGATATAGCCATAGCATCACTCACCATGGTTGAAGGCTCCAAGGTAATGCGATGTAATGAAGGAAACCGCACTTTTAATGTTTGATCACCACACCAACAATCGTCCCAAAATCTGATATTCGTCCCGTTCCCCACCACAAAAGCCAATCTATTTTGAAAATCGCTCCATCCTTTCCTGATATATTTCCACAAGCTCGTCCCATAAGAACCACGACCCTCACCCGAGCACCACCCCCCTCCAAGACACCATACTTCACCCCAATAATTTCTCTCCAAAAGCTCTCCCTCTCCATTCCAAATCGCCACAACCACTTGCCCAACAATGCCTTGTTAAATAAAACAAGGCTCCTCAATTCAAGACCCCCGACCCTAACAGGGGAACAAACATCACCCCATTTAACCAAATGAAACTTCCTCTCTTCCCCCAACCCTGCCCAAATGATGAAATCAGGTCCATCATGGAAATGGTCCTAGTCATATCAAACTTCCACAGATACTGAAAAATCAATTTATGCTTAAGATATGATCTCGTAAAACCATAAAATACTGCGTTTACTAAATAACATCAGAAGAAAGAAACACATATATTCCTGGTCTTTTACAACAATTAAATATGCAGTGTATTGCAAGTCAATGTGAAAGACGAAAAAGAATAAACATTGAATTATTTACTTTTACTTTGAACCAGCCAAGCATCCCTCTCCTCCTGTTCCTTTTGTAATCTTTGACTACCTCGTCTAGATTAGTGAGATCACCCCTTCCATCCATTGAAATTTCAGAATCGATACTTCCAGCATCATCATCAATCATGTACTCTCGTTTTTTATCTGGCAAGTAAGCTAGCTGCATGAACACTTTAAAAATAAGACAGGAATACAATTGGAACCTTCAAGAGGTAAAGTTGGACATATATCCCTGAAAGTTGTTATTTATAATCTATTGTCAGATAAAACTTAATCATCTGGGTGTCTCGCAAAGAAAAAAAAATGCTATCCTTTAACCTCATCTTCCCCAAATGAATGCCTCCTCCTATGGCCATGCTTTTGACGGACGGTTGGTTGTATTGTATTTTTGGTAGAAACCAAAATAAGCTTAGTTAATCTCTGAATCCTTCCCATTAAAGCTGCTTTGGCTTGTTCTTCCTCCTCCAGTCTCGATTGCAACTTAACCTGCCCAGCTTCCAACTGCAACAAATAAGGCATATTAGAAAAATCCAACTATCTAGCAATATCTTACTAATTTGGTCCACAGAAATCATGCCAGGGAAAAAATGTTCAGCATTTTTCCAACATTTCCACTCCCAAACCCACCCCCTGCACTTCCTCTTTCCTGAAGAAGTAAAAGGATAATACATAGATGATGTTTCGCAACAAAATATGCAATTAGAAGAAGCAAAGGAAATAAGTTGATGATTGCAAGGGCAAAGGACAACATTAAATTTATCAAGAATGTTAAAAGAACCAAATGCTAACGACCAAATTGACTAGCAGATTATAAGGTCATTAGTTATATAACTAGTTCCAACATTATAATTAGTCTCAAGCCAGTTTCATATCTTGACCAATTTGATACGGCCCATCTACCAGGACCAAAATTAATAATATGGGAATTTATCAGGTTAGTAAATCGCCACCCAAGTTACAGAATAATATTACAAAACTAGAGATATGTTCCTCTTTGCTCCAGTGGCAGAATTGTTCAACCAAGCATACTCTGCAATTAGACAATAATCAGTGCAGTGCGACAAGGTCAAAGCCAGTATTAGTAGAATAAGGATCATCATAGTAACCATACACAATCAGTACATTAATCTTCTTTCTCAATGTGAACTATGATACAACTGAATAACATAAACATGCATATCACATTTTCTGAAAAAGCAAACCTGAAGCTTCAGATTAACTAGATCTTCTTGCTGTGGAGACGTCACATTTTGGTTTTCCATCATGCCACGCTTTAATTGCTGAAGCTCTTCTCTCAGATTAGAAATTTCTTTCTGGTACTTTTTGATGACTGACTTCTCATCAATAATCTATACAGAGCAATCAAGGAAACATATAGGTGTGACCTCTTACAAAATTTCATCAGCTTCTAAATTTTGAACATGTATAATAACAAGCATTGACACAATCACCTTATTTTGTGAGGCCTTGATTTCCACATGCTTACTACGATGAGCAAACTTAAGTGTGTTGTGTGTTTCTTCAGTATTGCTAGAGGCTGGTGTAACTGTGCAAATAAGCTACAATAAGATTCAATGAACAGTCAAATTTCAGTAAGAAGTAAAATGGAATATTAAGTATCTTAATAAAGTACATTCATATAAATTCACAGATTTCACACTCCCAGCTAAGTGTTTAATGGAAATGGAAGCTGCAGATAATAAATTTACAAATGATGCACTAAAACTTACAGAAACCCGACCATGGCCACTAAGAGATGACTGCAACAGACGGGTCAGCTTTGAATCTCGATACGGTATATGAGTAGACTTTCCATCTGTTAGTTTAGATATCACCTGGATAAACAGAGTATATGAGTAGTAAAATCATCTGCGCTCATCACAAATGCCAAGTAGCCAATTACACAGAAAATATCCATTAGAATTTAATTTTTCTTTATAGCTTCCAAATCACACAAGTCTTCCTTGATGTGCTTTATTAGAGATAATCAAGGTCGTTTATGGTTATTTTAAGCAGGATGCTCCAACATATTTAGCTTCAGCTCCAAAAAAAGTAATTTAACTTGTGAATGACAAAGATTAAACAAAAGTAACTTCCTGGACAATTTGACCAAGGGGAACAAAAATGACAGCAGAGGAAGCAAATGATTCATCACGTAACCAAGTAGAAATGAGAACAAGTCTTTAACATATACACGGGTAAAAATGAAAAGCAATGAGAAAAATTAAACAGACAGAAATATGAGCTACATGCTTACAGTGCCAAGAGATAGTAAGCTTTTATTTATGTATGAACCTTCTTTTCTCCTCAATCCAGTGGTCTCTGTTTTAGAACTTTCAGATCCTGCCAAGTCAATTAAATGCTATAAAAGGAAGTCAGTATTGCCCAAACTGCCAGCCATAGGAAAAGAAACTAGGAAATCTTGTAGAAATGTGCCTGATACAGAATGCTGGTAAAAAAGAAAAAATAATGGATGAAGAAATGGGAACTTTAACTTAAAAGTAGTCGTCAAATCACTTGTTTTAATGAAAACACTTCAGAGAAATCTAAAAATGACAATGGCAATAAAAACAATTCAAGAATGACAACAATAACAGTAACAGTAACACTTCAACAGATCATACCAGTTGGGACAACGTCACTTCTTCTCCATAATTTTCCTCACGTGGGCTGCTTTCAATAGTCTGAAAAATAAAAAATAAAAATAAAAAACTCTTTAGAGCAAAGGACCAAAGAGAATATATGTGTCTTTCATGATTGTCATTTGTCAGATAACAGAAGGTAAAAAATTATCAATATCTTGTGCTATACTAATATTACTTGCCAGAGGAGGCATGTCTGGTAAACTTGGTCCATCCTACTATAGCTAAAGATAATTGCAATAAACAGGAGCAAAGCATGTTACATGTTAGTTTATCCCAATCCCATTAACCTCCCTGCAATCTGGAATTCAAAGATATCTGATATCTCATGAAGAAGGCAGTACGCAATGTAACCCGAAAACAGAAAATAACCATAAAACTAAATCCACCATTCTGTACAAATGTAGATAGTCCTACTCGCACAGAACCATCTGAAGCATTCCTTATTCGATCTTCTGTTTCTCCACAGCTTGGAAAGCATTCATGCATCAGTTCAAAGATCCAAGAAAATGGAGCCCTGCTTCAGTCCTTTAAAAAATCATACCTTTTGATATAACTCATCCTCCATGTCATCAAGTAATTCCTTGCACTTTATATTGATCTTCATGTCTGATAGAAAATCAAAATTGCATCTATCTAATTCTAACTATGCACTACCAAGAGGACAATCCAGGTTACACATTTTGACAAAGATAGGATACAACATCAAAATAACAGCACAAGTATCATTACCAAAGATAGAGCACGTGACTTGTGAAAAAAAAAAAGTGGTATCTTACCAAGGTAAATATAGTGTGGCTCCGACTGCTGAGCAAATTGAAGTTATTAGAACCCACGTGCCTGTGCTCTGCATCAAATTTTAGACAGTTTATTTGTCAAGAGTGAAAATAACACAGAAAGAATCATTAAGCATTTAAAACAAAAGAATACCATGACTTGCAATTGATGCATAAAATAGACACGAGGAAGGGCCAACCCAATAATGACAAATATCATTCTAAATACAAGTCCACATACCTTCCCCAGAAGCTATTAGTGAAAGAGCATGAGCAGGTGAAAGAACAACCTCTTCTTTGATTCCCTCCACATATGTACCCTGCCAAGTTACAACATTGTATTCCACAATTACAGATTGGTTATAAGTATTGACACGTCTAGTTTACTCATTCCATGCACTTCTGAGTTTGCACAGCATAGTGAGAATAGGAGAGATATAGACATGCACACATACACATGCATGAGACAGTTATACACTAATAAATTTGGAAAGAAAGTGCAAATATCTGTCAGAAGTTATTAATAAAATTATGGCAGCTACTTCATCAATCCCAAAGGAGGAACACCCCACCTCCCACCCAAAAAAAAAAACGCACACACACAAAATAAAAAGTGGCATATTTGGAACTCGTGACAAAGGAATAGGGTATGCTACTGAATAATTTTAGCGGTATTTTCAAATGAGATCGAATGATTCACCAATTTAAGATCATTTTGACATCAACCAAACTTGAAAGATAAGCTACATAGCAAACATAACAGACAGACATGTATATTCTTGATGTTTAAATTTATTGTCTTTAAAATATGTTTTTCCATTTATTCATTTCTTTTTTTTTTTTTTAGCTAATATTTGGAGACACCATGCAATATAAATTATCTTGACTTATCAAAGGTCAATAATGGATATGCAGGATTGATATCTAAATCACCATACAGATTCACAAGTACCTGAGAGTCCTCTCTTATTCTTAGATTCTGCCCTGTGGGATCAAGCAAATCATTAATGACCTGAAATTTCAAGACAAGAAAGTGTCATGTGAGATTCGAAAGGAGGCATCTGATAAATTTAAAGAAAAATTATTAGCATGTTTGGGAGTAATTAAAATCCAATTAAAATTGAAAATATAGCAATTATTGGGTCTCACTCGTCTAATAAAAGTCAACAATAACGGCTAGTTTTTCAATTTTAATCCGATTTTAATCTCTACCGAACACGCCCTATATTAGCCATTCGGAGTGATTAGAATGGAATGCACCAATATCATTAATACAGTCCGATGGCCAGCGTAGCCTGGCTCAAGAGGCAATACCCCCAGACTACGAGGTGCAAAGTTCAATTTCCACCAAGAGGGGTATGACACAAATTATGTATTAATCTTTCTTCCTATGTGTTTTTTGTTCATCTATTTTGTGTTGATTGTTAATAATAAATTATATCGAATTACCGCTTGAAGTATCCAATTGTTTACTCAAAAAATAAAAAGTTCAGTTCAACGGATAGAATCAAAGTAAAATATATAACAAGTCAAAATGTACAATAAGACAAACGAGAATAGAGAAAGTGACACATTCTATAATATCAAAGCCTGGTAAATACTGTGCTCTCTTTGTCAACAGTTAATATTCATTGTTCATTTGTGATTTCAATTTTTAGCAATTTTGTTCTCTTTTTTCTTTTCAAGGAATTCCAGAATCAAGATCTGTTACACTCATGTATTCATTCTATAGCCTCAATATACAGATAAAAGAATATCAAAACTACAAAGTGAATGCTTCAGAACACACGCCAAAGAATATGAATCTGACCTCATTGTAGATTTCCAAATAGGAGACTCGGAGGAGAAACTCCCGTCCAGGTGTCTGATATGGCACATTGAAAGATATTCAAAATTTGAGAATTACTTCCATAACATCAAGGAACTGAAAAACTAACCAAAAGGGGATGTCAACCACCTCTTGTATGATTCCAAACACATCCTTCACTGCCAAGGGTATGATTCCTGGTGACTTCTGCTCCCCCTATAAAAATAGAAGCTCAGAATTCATAACATTTGCATCCAGAAAATTGATTTTCTTCATGTTTTTGTGCGCGTGCAATTGTGTCACCAAAAGCTGGGACATTTCACGTGGCCTCTAGATAAACAAATAAATGTTTACCTAAGAATTAATCAAGAATAATAGCAAATACGTCACCACATAATTGGACTTAGAAATGATACAATTCAAATTTATACTGATTGTCTGATTTTGTATAAATAATTGTTCAGAGGCCTCATTTATATGTAATTAAGCACAATAAGAGTAACAGAGATACGAAAATTCATGAACAGGTCATATCACCAGTGGCTGTCTTCATAGTCTTTTATTAGTGTACAGTGATTGCACTGGTCAGAGAAGAAAAATTATGGGAAAGGAGAAAAATATTACATGCATTGTGTGAGTCTTCCCACTGCTAGTAACACCATATGCAAACACTGTACCTGCAAGAAAAATGAAAAATCAGAAGTTATCGTGGCAGCAGAATAATGCCACACATTTCAAAAATATGTGATGAATAGAGTTTTCAAATGACTACTTGTTATTACCATTTATTCCTTCCATGGCACCACCCACAACATGCTGAGCTGCAATATCATAAACATGGCGAGTAGTTGTTGCAGGACCAAATACTCTATCTGATCCAGAAAATGGCATTTATCATCAAGGATATAGATCAAAGGGAAAGGTAGAACCAATTTATAATACAAAAAAGCATCTGCAAGTTGTACAGGAATTTCATGCAGTCAACTGCAGCTCAAGGTTACTTTTTTTTTTTTGATGGAAGAAGCTCAAGTTTACTGAGAATAAGACTTAACCTACAATTTCCATCATTGTTTGCGTAATCGCATTTTACATGAGTTGTTAAATCAATTCAATGGGGAAGTGACTTGCTGAGATGCAATGCCATTTTCACTGGAGTTATCTTGCACTATTCATTTGTTAACTGTAAGAAATGCAATTACTATTTTTGTCCATCATAATTCTGCCCAATGCCCAATATTTCAACTCTCTTATGTACAATTTGAACATCGGAAACTCGGATGGGGATAGTTATGCGTCTATTCTACACATGATTATGTCCCTTGGCTGGCCTTAACAGAGAACATGCATACAGACGCAAGTGTATACCATGTTTCGACATTATAAAATTTAATTTTTTATATTACCATATTCGTTGTAGAAATTCATATATTATTATATTGATTTTAGAAACGCTTAAAATTCAATCTTAAATTCTCAAACAGTTGGATTCTTGGGTTTACAACCCCCTGTTGCCCATCAACATATTCAGTTACCTAGGTGAACGCAGATGATATACAAAGAGTAAGAACTGTTCAGAGGATTCTACTCCCACCTGCTTGATCAGTTGCAACCACTTAATTCCAATCCAATCAAAAGGTTGACACTTTCCTTCCATTCAAGAAAAAAGGGCCAGGCACTAATCATTTTAAACATAGTTTCTCCCAAAAATCAATTGATAAATTATATAAGTGGTGAGATGGAGCAGACACTTCTAGTCTTAAACATTGAACAGTAGATCTTTTAATTCCATACGAATTGGCCACTACATACCACATTAAACATATATCTACATGTATACGTATTCTATAATATGGACGCTGTATTTTTTGGGTCTGTGCGCTGCTGTCATGTACTAGATACTAACCAAAGCTATAAGCAATGTCGGGATTGTATTCATTCCGGACAGTGCGGTCTCCATCAGCATACCAAGCTACTTCATCCCCTTTACTGATCTCCCTGGCACTGAAAAATACCAAAAACAAACAAGTCAACAAATAAACCAAAAAAATCAATCTTCCGAATACCATCATTCACGAAAATGTCCCGCGCATTCGCGGGACCCACTTAATATCAACGTCCAGGAGTCAACGAATTCAAGTAAAAGAAGAAACCTATTTACCTAAGAGGCCGAAATCGTACAGTAACGGTGACATTTTCTTTAGCTTTAATCGGAGTAATAGAAGTTGTGGATGCCGTGCTGGGGTTGTAAAACGACGCCGTGGAAGAATTGGTAGATGAAGGAGTGGTAGGACGATGTTGGTGTTTAGGTGGCACAGTCGACGAAGACGGCGGCGGTGGGGGTGTTTTCCGGGAACGGAAAGGGGATATGGAAGATCGGAGAGAGCGAGAAGTGGACATTGGAGAGAGTAGAGAGAGAAAGTCACGTTGATTTTGCCGCCTTTTGGTATTTAGTGGAATTTGGACCTTTGATTGGTCCCTCCAAAATAAGGTAATACGAGTGGGGGAGACTTTGAATTGGTCGGTGTTTTTGAATTGTATCATTCGTACCCAGAAAAAATTGCAAAGGTGTGACCAAATTTATCTATCGGGTAACATGATTGACTATTTGATTATTAAATTTTTTATATAAGTTAGTTTCAAATATGCAAGTATAAAATTTTATATATATATATATATGTCAATTGTCCTACTTAACACGT